TCTGCACATTGTGGAGGTACTTCTGCACATTGTGGAGGTACTTCTGCACATTGTGGAGGTACTTCTGCACATTGTGGAGGTACTTCTGCACATTGTGGAGGTACTTCTGCACATTGTGGAGGTACTTCTGCACATTGTGGAGGTACTTCTGCACATTGTGGAGATACTTCTGCACAACTCGGGTAAAATCTTGTGTCAGAGATGAGTCATATAAAGTGTGGCAGTAGTCCTCCGAGCTGGTCCAAAACAGCCGCCTCCCGCCGCCATCTTGGTAACTCTTGAGTGTGGAGTGTGTACACCTTGTTACTGTCCCTTATTGGTGGTGGTGTTAGTCTGTTACCTTGCTAACATTAGTGTTTTATTATTGGTAATATTATGTGTATACTTTATATGGTGCTAAGCTTTATGTACAGGTACTTATTGTGTTGTACCTACCGTATTGGCGCTTGGTCTAGTCTGGTGTCGGCACCAGGTGTCGGCACCAGGTGTCGGCACCAGGTGTCAGCACCAGGTGTCGGCACCAGGTGTCGGCACCAGGTGTCGGCACCAGGTGTCGGCACCAGGTGTCGGCACCAGGTGTCGGCACCAGGTGTCGGCACCAGGTGTCAGCACCAGGTGTCGGCACCAGGTGTCAGCACCAGGTGTCGACACCTGATGTCCGTGTGAACTCATCCTTCACCATACACGCACCACGTTGATGAGTTTACCATATGCGTGGTGAGTAGTGGCCCGCTTGGTAGCGACACACACACACACACACACACCACACACACACACACACACACACACACACACACACACACACATATTATCTACTACCATTGCTAGCCTCACCACCACCACCACCACTACTACTACTACCACTACTACCACCACCACTACCAACGCCATCATCTCCCCGTGTGTAGCAAGATGGGTGATTCAGGGAAGGAGAGTGATGCTGCTTGTGAGAAGATGGACACGCAGATCTCCCCTGACAATGTCAACCTCTACAACCCCACTGATAACACGACCAACAACAACAATAATAACAACCTCCTGGGCACGCCTGGGAGCCCCCCGGGAGCCACAACTGGGACTGGCCACAACCTCTCCTTCTATAACATGCTCAACAACAATAATAATAACTACAGTGTCGAAGCTCTACGAAGTTTGGGCCTTACAAGAGTTCCTGGAAATTTGCCCTTACTGCTGCAGGTAGGTCCTCGTCCCTCACTGGTCCTCGTCCCTCACTGGTCCTCGTCCCTCACTATCCTTCCCTCACTGGTCCTCGTCCCTCACTATCCTTCCCTCACTGGTCCTCGTCCCTCACTATCCTTCCCTCACTGGTCTTCGCCCCGCACCGCTGCAGGTAGGTCTGTGTGTGAACTTGGAATGAGTCGGGTGAGACTGGAATTAATAAGCTCTGAGTGTTGAAACCTTCCCGTTGGCTTCTCCAAGCTGTCTCCCGCCACCAGACACCTCTGAGACAGGAGCCGCCAGGTCCCTGACAGCAACCCCCTGTCTCATGGACAGTGCGTCGCATTTTGACGTCCAATAACGTGATATTACTAATAATGGTCGCGGTTCGCGAAATTGACTGTGATGTCCCGTTTTCTGTGCGTGGGTTCTCGGGTCGGTTAGTACAACTGTTTAGTGACGTAGGGGACGCTGGGAAGAACGGGCTGCTGGCACGTGGGGTGGGTGGTGGGGTCCTCGGCCCCTGTGGACTGGGAGCAGGATTTGTTTACATTAAGGTTGGCTCCCCTTGTAGGTGACGTCATGCCACCACGTGGTGTAGGTAAACATGACGTCATGTTTGTTTTTGGAGAGTTGGTCGGGGGGGGGGGGGGGGATGGAGAGGCACAGTCAAAGGGAAATTTTAAAAATGGGCATATAGTGAGTTTTTTTTATGGCAGACGGGCTGGCCGCCTTGCTGACACCAGGCGGGTTTTTTCTATTATACATGTTTTTATTTTTTATTCAGCATTTCTCTTGTTAGGGTGATGTCATGGGCTTGTCTCATGTGATTTTTAGACCCCTGACGGCTGAGTGTGGGGGGCTGATGGCTGAGTGGACAGAGCTCGGGGTTCGTAGGCCTGAGGTTCCGGGTACGATCCCCAGCAGAGACGGAAACAAATGTGCAGTTTCTTTCACCCTGAGGCCTCTGTTCACCTAGCAGTAAATGGGTATCTGGGAGTAAGACAGCTGTTACGGGCTGCTTCCTGGGGGCGTGTAACAAAAAGGCCTGCCAAAAGAGGCCTTGTCGAAGACCGGCCCGCCGGGACGCTAAGCCCTGAAATCATCTTAAGATAACCTCAAGATAACCTGATTGAAGATGACAGATCAAATGCCTCGTCAGCTTGGTCGACGTCATACCTATGTACTTAGATTGAAGGTTACATCCTTCGCGGGGGCAAGTGTACATGTATACAACGCTTGACTGCTGTAAAGGGTTCTCCGTCGGCTTAGGGCTGTTTTTGATAAGGTCGGAAGTCTTCTTTATTTTATAGTATATGATTAGGTCTGTTTTGGTTAGTAGTTTTTTTACTCCTTTACGGATTATTTCTTTCATTATTCTTTCATTATTCTTTCTTTATGTTCACTGTACATGGTTGATTTGTAATATAATTGTATTGGAGGTGTTGTGGGTTCTGTTCTTGGTTCATGGTTGTACCACCGGTCCAGGTGTTGTCTTATAGTTGTGTTTATTACTGTGTTGCTATATCCATTGTTCACCAATACCTGAGTTATCCGTTCACACTCCCTACACACGTTGCACCATTCAGAGCAGCGGGTAAGATTCTCAAGTCAATTCATAGACTTGAGAATGGTCCAGGACGGACCGAAACGTCGTCGTCCCTTCACCTTCTAGTGTGTGGTCTGGTCAAGAGTGGGTATAAGAGCTCGACGAATATAAGTGTTGAGAACACTGGCTTTGTATCTTTAGGGACACTCGCTCCTACAGTTCAGGCATAATCCTATGTTGGTAGGCTTAGTATATATGCTGGTGCTTCGAGAGGCTCCTGTTTTTGTTATTAGTATATCCAGGAATGGCAGACTGTTATTTTCACTGTTTTCATGTGTATATCAGAGTCCTGATTCTCAGGACTCTGAGAAGTCCTGATTCTGAATCGTCTAGTCCTTCCTGATTCTAGTCCCGATTCTGATTCCTGAATCATCTAGTCCTTCCTGATTCTAGTCCTGATTCTGATTCCTGAATCATCTAGTCCTGATTCTAGATGGCTTTTTAGATCAATTAGTTCACCTGGGACTTTTACTATGACGAATATGTCAGTGATATAACGGCAGTATATTATTGTTGTTTTGCTTACCACTGAAGACTATCTTTGATGGTTCCCATGTCAAAATTAGCAAATAGCACTCCTAAGGGGGCGGGGGAGGGAAGCCCATTGCTACTCCGTGTATCTGTAGACACATGTTATCTTGCGGACTGATGCCAGGTGTTTCCTTTGTACATGCCTCGAGGAGGTTCCTGAAGTGTGGGTCAGGTGTGTCTAATTTGGGGGTGTTCTCGTCTCTGTGTACTCTAATGGACAGTATACTCTAATGTGCAGTATACACAGACGAGAACATTTTCTCCTCAGTGAGGGCCCGTGGGTGCCAGGCCGCGGGGGGTGAGGGCCCGTGGGTGCCAGGCCGGGGGGGGGGGGGGTCCGTGGGTGCCAGGCAGGGGGGGGGGCCGTGGGTGCCAGGCCGGGGGGGGTCCGTGGGTGCCAGGCAGGGGGGGGGCCCGTGGGTGCCAGGCAGGGGGTGGGGGTGAGGGCCCATGGGTGCCAGGCCGGGGGGGGGGTGAGGGCCCGTGGGTGCCAGGCCGGGGGGGGGGGGTGAGGGCCCGTGGGTGCCAGGCCGGGGGGGGGGAGGGGGTCATCATTGACGTCTCACAAATGTCTGGCATCTACATAGGTGATGACCCGTCCTGATTCATTCACGCTGCCTCCCTCACCTCTCATGTTCCCCACCTCCCCATCCAAGGCTGTCACTCTGGTTATCTTACCTTGACGTTACCTGGAGGGGATTTCGGGGCTTAGCGATTCCGCGGCCCGGTCCTCGACCAGGCCTCCTGGTTGCTGGACTGGCCAACTAGGGTGTTGGACGCGGCTGCTCGCAGCCTGACGTATGAGTCACAGCCTGGTTGATCAGGTATCCTTTGGAGGTGTTTATCCAGTACTCTCTTGAACACTGTGAGGGGTCGGCCAGTTATGTCCCTTATGTGTAGTGGAAGCGTGTTGAACAGTCTCGGGCCTCTGATGTTGATAGTTCTCTCTTGAACACTGTGAGGGGTCTGCCAGTTATGCCCCTTATGTGTAGTGGAAGCGTGTTGAACAGTCTCGGGCCTCTGATGTTGATAGTTCTCTCTTGAACACTGTGAGGGGTCTGCCAGTTATGCCCCTTATGTGTAGTGGAAGCGTGTTGAACAGTCTCGGGCCTCTGATGTTGATAGTTCTCTCTTGAACACTGTGAGGGGTCTGCCAGTTATGTCCCTTATGTGTAGTGGAAGCGTGTTGAACAGTCTCGGGCCTCTGATGTTGATAGTTCTCTCTTGAACACTGTGAGGGGTCGGCCAGTTATGCCCCTTATGTGTAGTGGAAGCGTGTTGAACAGTCTCGGGCCTCTGATGTTGATAGTTCTCTCTGAGTACCTGTTGCACCTCTGCTCTTCAACAGTGTCACCAAGCAGCAGCCTGTTGGACCAAGTTATCACAAGTCGAGCCTGGCCTCAGGCCGGGCTCGGGTGAGTAGAACAACTCCCGAAACCCTCTCCAGGTAAGCTCCGGGTAACCTATTACGTGCCTCTGTAACCCCCATTTCACCCCCCCCCTCCATCGTGTGGGGGGGTCTACCTCCGCCCACGGAATGGTAACTAACTTTATATCTTTATGTACTGAAGTCTCTTCTGACCTTTTAGAATGTTAATTGCGTTAAGGTGTGTGAGATGACTTGTGGCAAGGACCCGTCCACCGGCCAAGTTGATAACGGTAGTGTTCTTGTTGTTAACAGGAGTTCGCCACGCTGACGAAGGAGCTGAACGGCGCGCGGGAGCAGTTGCTGGAACGTGACGAAGAGATCACCGAACTCAAGGCTGAGAGGAACAACACCAGGGTAAGTTGCTCGCCCCTTCTGTAGTCTCCCGCCCCTGCCAGGGGTTGTAGCACCCCATGGCAACCGCCCCCTCCCAGTGGTTGTGGCACCCCATGGCAACCGCCCCCTCCCAGTGGTTATGGCACCCCATGGCAACCGTCCCCTCCCAGTGGTTGTGGCACCCCATGGCAACCGTCCCCTCCCAGTGGTTGTGGCACCCCATGGCAACCGTCCCCTCCCAGTGGTTGTGGCACCCCATGGCAACCGTCCCCTCCCAGTGGTTGTGGCACCCCATGGCAACAGTCCTCTCCCAGTGGTTGTGGCACCCCATGGTAACAGTCCCCTGCCAGTGGTTGTGGCACCCCATGGCAACCGTCCCCTGCCAGTGGTTGTGGCACCCCATGGCAACAGTCCTCTCCCAGTGGTTGTGGCACCCCATGGCAACAGTCCTCTCCCAGTGGTTGTGGCACCCCATGGCAACCGTCCTCTCCCAGTGGTTGTGGCACCCCATGGCAACAGTCCTCTCCCAGTGGTTGTGGCACCCCATGGCAACAGTCCTCTCCCAGTGGTTGTGGCACCCCATGGCAACCGTCCTCTCCCAGTGGTTGTGGCACCCCATGGCAACCGTCCTCTCCCAGTGGTTGTGGCACCCCATGGCAACCGTCCTCTCCCAGTGGTTGTGGCACCCCATGGCAACCGTCCTCTCCCAGTGGTTGTGGCACCCCATGGCAACCGTCCTCTCCCAGTGGTTGTGGCACCCCATGGCAACCGTCCCCTGCCAGTGGTTGTGGCACCCCATGGCAACAGTCCTCTCCCAGTGGTTGTGGCACCCCATGGCAACCGTCCCCTGCCAGTGGTTGTGGCACCCCATGGCAACAGTCTCCTCCCAGTGGTTGTGGCACCCCATGGCAACCGTCCCCTGCCAGTGGTTGTGGCACCCCATGGCAACAGTCCTCTCCCAGTGGTTGTGGCACCCCATGGCAACCGTCCCCTGCCAGTGGTTGTGGCACCCCATGGCAACAGTCCCCTGCCAGTGGTTGTGGCACCCCATGGCAACAGTCCTCTCCCAGTGGTTGTGGCACCCCATGGCAACCGTCCTCTCCCAGTGGTTGTGGCACCCCATGGCAACCGTCCTCTCCCAGTGGCTGTGGCACCCCATGGCAACCGTCCCCTGCCAGTGGCTGTGGCACCCCATGGCAACCGTCCCCTGCCAGTGGTTGTGGCACCCGAGGTAACCTCCCCTCTCGTCGTGGTTGTGATGCCCCCACCTACCAGCCTGTTGTTGTTGGTTCTGGGCATGGTCAGAGACCAAGGCCCCGGTCTTTGACCATGCCTTTTGGTTTCATATGGTTACCTGCCTTCCTACCCTGATGTTACCTTGAGGTGGTTTCGGGGCTTAGCGTCCCCGCGGCCCGGTCGTCGACCAGGCCTCCTGGTTGCTGGTTTGGGGGCATTTCCGTGTGCAGATGTGTAACTCGTCCCTCTAATATTTTCCAAGTGTAAATCATTGTGCATCTCTCACGCCTGCGCTCTTGAAAGTACAAATTTAAACATTTTAAGCGGGCTCAATAACATATATGTTTGATAGAGAGGATTCTGGCAGTAAAAGACCTTTGCACGCTCTCCAGGTCAGCAATTTCTCCAGCTTTGAATGGGGCTGTTAGTGTGCAATAATATTTCATCCTAGAGAGCACTAGCGTCTTGAAGATTATCAACATTAGTATGGCATCTCTTGCGTGAAAGGTTCTTGTTATCCAACCTGTCTTTTTCTTGCAGTTATAACAGCAGCTGCAAGAAAAAAGGCAACTGTTCTATTTCTTCAATAGAGCATCTGCTCTATTTCTTCAGTCTACCCTTTTAAGATTTCCTTGTCTTTGTGATAGTCGTATCTGCTTAAGTATTTCCATGATTTTCTTCCTTCTGTGTAGTCGAATTTGTTCTCTGGTTGGTACCTGGTTGATGGGGTTCTGGGAGTTGTTCTACTCCCCAAGCCCGGCCCGAGGCCAGGCTTGACTTGTGAGAGTTTGGTCCACCAGGCTGTTGCTTGGAGCGGCCCGCAGGCCCACATACCTACCACAGCACGGTTGGTCCGGCACTCCTTGGAGGAAACAATCTTAGTTTCCTCTTGAAGATGTCCACGGTTGTTCCGGCAAAACGAGAACGAACGAGTTCGGTTCTCTGTCTAGGAGAGGTCCTCTTAACGATATACAACAAAGGAATATATTTCAAGCAGACTTTGTACACTTCGGCAGTCATTTGTTTATTCCTTGTGTGGAGGTTTTGTTACTCAAGACTAGGGCAGCTAGTTCTTGACACACACTGTACCCCGTCATATAGTCTAGGGCAGCTAGTTCTTGACACACACTGTACCCCGTCATATAGTCTAGGGCAGCTAGTTCTTGACACACTGTACTGCCCTTCATATAGTCTAGGGCAGCTAGTTCTTGACACACACTGTACTGCCCTTCATATAGTCTAGGGCAGCTAGTTCTTGACACACACTGTACTCCCCTTCATATAGTCTAGGGCAGCTAGTTCTTGACACACACTGTACTCCCCTTCATATAGTCTAGGGCAGCTAGTTCTTGACACACACTGTACTCCCCTTCATATAGTCTAGGGCAGCTAGTTCTTGACACACACTGTACTGCCCTTCACATAGTCTAGGGCAGCTAGTTCTTGACACACTCTGTACTCCCCTTCATATAGTCTAGGGCAGCTAGTTCTTGACCCACTCTGTACTCCCCTTCACATAGTCTAGGGCAGCTAGTTCTTGACACACACTGTACTACCCTTCGTATAGTCTAGGGCAGCTAGTTCTTGACACACACTGTACTGCCCTTCACATGCACCTAAATGTGGCTGGTTGGTGTCCTGTTCAAGCAGACTGTTGGTCGCGGTTGCTCGCAGCTTGGTGGATCAAGTATGCTGTGGAGATGTTTATAGATTTCACTTGAACACCGTGAGAGGCCGGCCAGTTATGCACCTTAGGTGTAGAGGGAGTGTGTTGACAATTCTTGGGCTCTGATGTTAAGAGTTCTCTCTCAGCGTACCTGTTGCTCCTCAGCGTTTCAACGGGGCTTCTATACAAGGATAACTTCATTTAGAATCTGTGTTTTGATTATCAGCACTTCCACCATATTGTTTATGGTGGTTAGTGTGTCAGCTGTACAGGCTGCCAGGTTGTGGTGGTGTCAGCTGTACAGGCTGACAGGTGTTGGTGGTGGTGTCAGCTGTACAGGCTGACAGGTGTTTGTGGTGGTGTCAGCTGTACAGGCTGACAGGTGTTGGTGGTGGTGTCAGCTGTACAGGCTGACCCCACTCTGCAACATGTTTCCTGTCACATCTGAAAAGACTGTACTCTGGTGTCCATATTTCACCACCAGAGTAATCCTTAGTGCGAGTTTCCCTTAGGGCTGCAAACACTGTATTGGCCGCGTTTAGGAGACCAACTGTAAAGTGGGCTTTGTGTGAACGGCGCGTTTTGACTCCCCTGAATGTTGGTGAATATGATGTTATAGTGTTTGTGGAAGTGCTGGGTGTTTAACTTGGTGTTAATATCTGCGGTTCTAGTAGGGGAGGCCACTGTGTGTTTGTGTCCTCTCTAGCATTGGACCGAGTTGATGGTAGAGTCTGGACATGTGTAGCCATTCTTATCCTCTTTCTCTTGCTAAGACATTATCCTCTGGGGGCCAGAATCACGAAGCAGTTACGCAAGTACTTACGAACGTGTACATCTTTCCTCAATCTTTGACGGCTTTGGTTACATTTATTAAACAGTTTACAAGCATGAAAACTTGCCAATCAACTCTTGTGATTGGTATAAACAGCCTCATTGTGCTTCGTAGCTCATTAACCGTTTAATAATTGTAAACAAAGCCGCCAAAGACTCAGAAAAGATGTACAGGTTCGTAAGTGCTTGCGTAAATGCTTCGTGAATCTGGCCCCAGGTATGTAGAGTTGTGGCTGTTTTCACAGTGGCGTTCTTTTGATTTTATTCGCCTGGTTCCTCTTATATGAGGAGCTGGACAGTCTCTGTTGAAATATTCTTTCTTGTTTAATGAATTCTTAGAGTTGTGGGTGGAAACATTTGCAGTTTTTGGAACATTTATCTGTAAAATGAATATTTCTAAACCTTCTGGGTGATGGTATTTGCATATTCCATTTGTTCTTCCCGATATCCTATATTTACATACTCAATTTATAGTATAAACGAGTTTTTGTCTTTTATTTTGTTTATTTTGGCCTGAATTTTGAAGAGTCCGATTCTTTTGTTGAACCCGACTCTGTGCAGGGAGCAATGGTGGTGGTGGTGCAGGGAACAGTGGGGTGATAGCACACAAAATGAGGTCAGTGGGAATAACTGGTAAAGTAGGACGCTGGATACTCAATTTCCTGTCGAACCGAACACAAAGAGTAACAGTCAATCAAGTAAAATCGAGTCCGAGCGCAGTTAAAAGCTCTGTACCTCAAGGTAGAGTCCTTGCAACCCTGCTGTTCCTTATTCTCATATCAGATATAGACAAAAATACAAGTCACAGCTTCGTATCATCCTTTGCAGATGACACGAAAATCAGCATGAAAATTACCTCTGCTGAAGACATTGAAAAATTACAAGCAGATGTCAACAAAATTTTCGATTGGGCAGCAGAAAATAACATGTTTAACGGTGATAAATTTCAGGTACTCAGATACGGCAAAATGAGGATCTGAAGCATAATACAGGGTACAAAACACAATCGAATCTGCCCATAGTAGGAAAACAGCATGTGAAGGATTTGGGAATAATAATGTCTGACGACCTAACGTTTAAGGAGCATAACCAAGCAAATATTGCGACAGCCAGAAAAATGATAGGATGTATTACGAGAACTTTCAAATCCAGGGATCCCATCACAATGGTTGTACTATTCAAGTCACTTTTGTCCCGTCTCGAGTACTGCTCAGTACTCACTTCCCCCTTCAGAGCAGGAGAGATTGCTGAAATAGAGGGAATACAGAGAACATATACGGCACGCATAGACGCGATAAAGCACCTAAATTATTGGGATCGTCTTAAAGCTCAACAAATGTACTCATTAGAAAGAAGACGATAGAGATGCCAAGTAATATACACATGGAAAATACTGGAGGGACAGGTCCCAAACCTACACAGTTAAATAACAACGTACTGGAGTGAACGATATGGAAGAAAATGCAGAATAGAACCAGTGAAGAGCAGAGGTGCCATAGGCACAGAGAACACTGTATGAACATCAGAGGTCCGCGGTTGTTCAACGTCCTCCCAGCGACTATAAGAAATATTGCCGGAACAACCGTGGACATCTTCAAGAGAAAACTGGACTGTTTTCTAAAAGACGTGCTGGACCAACCGGGCTGTGGTGGGTATGTGGGCCTGCGGGCCGCTCCAAGCAACAGCCTGGTGGACCAAACTCTCACAAGTCAAGCCTGGCCTCGGGCCGGGCTTGGGGAGTAGAACTACTCCCAGAACCCCATTAACCAGGTATCAAGCAGGTGCAGAGAGCAGCAGCAGTGGTGGTGGTGGTGGTGGTGGTGTAGGGAGCAGTGGTGGTGGTGGTGGTGCAGGGAGCAGTGGTGGTGGTGGTGCAGGGAACAGTGGTGGTGGTGCAGGGAACAGTGGTGGTGGTGGTGGTGGGGGTGCAGGGAACAGTGGTGGTGTAAGGGGGTTGACGATGATAGCTGAGATAAGACACGGGCGGGCGGGCGGGCCAGGAGACAGGAGTCACCGCCAGTCTACCCGACCCTACTATCCCCAGCTGACTGTTGTCATCACCTCCCCACCCACACCTATCCCCAGCTGACTGTTGTCATCACCTCCCCACCCACACCTATCCCCAGCTGACTGTTGTCATCACCTCCCCACCCACACCTATCCCCAGCTGACTGTTGTCATCACCTCCCCACCCACACCTATCCCCAGCTGACTGTTGTCATCACCTCCCCACCCACACCTATCCCCAGCTGACTGTTGTCATCACCTCCCCACCCACACCTATCCCCAGCTGACTGTTGTCATCACCTCCCCGCCCACACCTATCCCCAGCTGACTGTTGTCATCACCTCCCCGCCCACACCTATCCCCAGCTGACTGTTGTCATCACCTCCCCGCCCACACCTATCCCCAGCTGACTGTTGTCATCACCTCCCCGCCCACACCTATCCCCAGCTGACTGTTGTCATCACCTCCCCGCCCACACCTATCCCCAGCTGACTGTTGTCATCACCTCCCCACCCACACCTATCCCCAGCTGACTGTTGTCATCACCTCCCCGCCCACACCTATCCCCAGCTGACTGTTGTCATCACCTCCCACCCACACCTATCCCCAGCTGACTGTTGTCATCACCTCCCCATCCACACCTATCCCCAGCTGACTGTTGTCATCACCTCCCCACCCACACCTATCCCCAGCTGACTGTTGTCATCACCTCCCCGCCCACACCTATCCCCAGCTGACTGTTGTCATCACCTCCCCGCCCACACCAATCCCCAGCTGACTGTTGTCATCACCTCCCCACCCACACCTATCCCCAGCTGACTGTTGTCATCACCTCCCCGCCCACACCTATCCCCAGCTGACTGTTGTCATCACCTCCCCGCCCACACCTATCCCCAGCTGACTGTTGTCATCAATTCCCCGCCCACACCTATCCCCAGCTGACTGTTGTCATCACCTCCCCGCCCACACCTATCTCCAGCTGACTGTTGTCATCACCTCCCCACCCACACCTATCCCCAGCTGACTGTTGTCATCACCTCCCCGCCCACACCTATCCCCAGCTGACTGTTGTCATCACCTCCCACCCACACCTATCCCCAGCTGACTGTTGTCATCACCTCCCACCCACACCTATCCCCAGCTGACTGTTGTCATCACCTCCCCATCCACACCTATCCCCAGCTGACTGTTGTCATCACCTCCCCATCCACACCTATCCCCACCTGACTGGGGATATTTGCATAACCAAGCAAATATTGCGTCAGCCAGAAAAATGATAGGATGGATTACGAGAACTTCCAAATCCAGGGATCCCATCACAATGGTTGTACTCTTCAAGTCACTTGTGTTGTCCCGTCTTGAGTACTGCTCAGTACTCACTTCCCCCTTCAGAGCAGGAGAGATTGCTGAAATAGAGGGAATACAGAGAACATATACGGCACGCATAGACGCGATAAAGCGCCTAAATTATTGGGATCGTCTCAAAGATCTCCAAATGTACTCAGTTGAAAGGAGACAAGAGAGATACCAAATAATATTCACATGGAAAATACTGGAGGGCCAAGTACCAAATCTACACAGTAAAATAACAACGTACTGGAGTGAACGATATGGAAGAAAATGCAGAATAGAACCAGTGAAGAGCAGAGGTGCCATAGGCACAATCAGAGGACACTGTATAAACATCAGAGGTCCGCGGTTGTTCAACGTCCTCCCAGCGACTATAAGAAATATTGCCGGAACAACTGTGGACATCTTCAAGAGGAAACTAGACTGTTTTCTGAAAGACTTTCCGGGCTGTGGTGGGTATGTGGCCCTGCGGGCCGCTCCAAGCAACAGCCTGGTGGACCAAACCCTCACAAGTCAAGCCTGGCCTCGGGCCGGGCTTGGGGAGTAGAAGAACTCCCAGAACCCCATCAACCAGGTAGCTGACTGTTGTCATTTACCCCCCCCCCCCCCCCACCCACACCTATCCCCAGCTGACTGTTGTCATCACCTCCCCGCCCACACCTATCCTCAGATCTACCCATTGTTTTTGGAACCATTTGATCGTTACCGTGCTTTAGCTTTTGTGTGGCTTTGGCCGCGATATCAGTAACAGTTACATTAGATGTTTTGTAGTTACAGTAGTGCTGGTTCTATATGGGTTGCTGAGGTGTTTATCAGGGGTAATAGTAATGGTGGAGGGGGCGAGGAGGGGTATAGACTTTGTTGGTGGTATGGATGGTAGAGGGAGATAAGCGAAGTCTGGTGTCTGGTTGCTGTGCTATTGGTTGCTATCATGGATGATAACCTAGCCAGGGGGTGTCACGAATGATAACTGGGTGTGGGGTGATAACACCATGGGGTGTCATAGATGATTACTGAGCCAAGGGTGTCAGGGATGACAAATAAGCCAGGGACACCATGGTTTATTTTATCGAGCATTTACACCACAGATATTACCAAGCCAGTGGCACACACAGATTATATTATCAAGCCAGGTGTTCTACAGATGATATACGAAGCCAAGGGGTGCCACAGATGATGTATGAAGCCAGTGGGGTGCCACAGATGATATATGGAAACGGGGGGGGTAGCCACAGATATATGAAGCCAGGTGTGGCCACAGATGATATAGGAAACGGGGGGCCACAGATGATATATGGAAATGGGGAGGGGGGGGGGCACAGATGATGTATCAAGCCAGGGGATGCCACAGATGATGTATCAAGCCAGGGGGTGCCACAGATATTACTAATCCAGGTGTATTGCATTACAGCTGCTATTAGAGCACTTGGAGTGTCTGGTCTCGCGGCACGAACGCTCGCTCAGGATGACGGTGGTGAAGCGGCAGGCAGCATCACAGTCGGGTGTCTCCTCCGAGGTCGAGGTTCTCAAGGCACTCAAGTCCCTCTTTGAACACCACAAGGCCCTCGATGAGAAGGTTAGTTTATCTCACTTCTCCACTCTTAAAGTTTTATTATCGATTATTTGATCACATTCTCCATTAGTGTGTTGTATAAGCCAAACATTCCACTCATAGGCAAGGTCAAATATTCAGCACTGTAATGTTCTTCACTTAATCATGCTTAATTATTCCTTTTGAGCTACCAATGTGTCAAACTTGAAAGTGCTCCTTCCCCTCTCCCTGTCTTCCTCCCCATAATGATGTTGCCCTCTCTCTGACCCCCCCTCTAGAATACTACATATATATGTAAGAGTGAGGGCTTTGACTGTTGCAGTTACCGATGTATCATAACGAGGTTTGTACTCTCGGAATACTCTAGGGATATTTTCATTCTAATCTTAAAGCAGCTGCATTAGATAGTTACACTATACTTATATCAGCTTCAGCAGCATTTGATAATAATTCATTGTGTTGGGGGACAGGCAGCCAGTTACACATACAGTACATGTCAGGCTTATATCGAGATCACCAGCAGGGTTGAATTACTGACCCCGCACAAGATGAAACCCCCACAACAAGCTGACGAAATCCTGGGTACCTATTTACTGCTGGTGGACAGGAGCATGAGGGGATAGGAAATGCACCCCAACCATTTCTGTCCTGCCCAGAATTTGAATTCAGAATTCTCGACTGAGAGTCGAGAACAAATCCGACTGTACTACTGCGGTTTAATATTCAATTACACCCTTGGCCAATTCATTTGGTTGCTACCCTTCTTGTAATGATTTATTAACAAAATTCAATAAATAATTAGTTTTTATGAAATTATAGAAAATATTATACCAAATTCAGAAAAAGGAAGCACAAAATGTTAGTAGCTGTAGTGTGGCCATGGCAGGCAGCTAAAGGTGGATTTACCTCCAAAGCATCCTAGCAACAAAAAAAAAAAAAAAAAAAAATTGAATACTCAAAATTTGTTCTCGATGAACTTGTGTTAGAAATAAAGCATTCATTGTAGAGACGTGTCCTTTTTCTTTGGGTGAAGCCTTTAGTGATTCCCTGACCTAAGGGCTGGTCAAGACAAGTCTGGGGCAGATGCATCAGGCCTCCAAGACCCAACCTTGCCTACAGGAAACCAAGACCAGAATCTAGCTATCTATTAGGAAAAGGGAATTTGATACTCGGTCTCAAAGACCGAGAAAAAAGCCCACCAGAAACCATATACCGTTAAATGCAATGAAGCAATCGAACTGTAGGTAACGAGGCAAATAATCATTCATTTCATGATGTGCTTGACTGCTACTTGATGGCAGTCAGTCACCCATAAACTTATTCTTCCTATAAGGTGAAGTACTGCTCTCTCTTGAGCTGCCCAACTCGACCCATTCACATGAAAGAAGAGAACGAGGTCCCATAAGAAATGGGCATTCCATTACATTCAAAACTTGATTTCTGGGAAGGCGCCCTCATCAGCTCCCTGAACTAACTTGGTGTTTCGATAGAAGAGATTTGCATTTGTAAAAAACACAGCAAGAATGACCAAAGCCAGGATGCCCAGCAGGATACCAGAAAGCTGACCAGCAAGAGAACTGAGTGCACATCATGCCCAGGAACAAAAACAATTATTTGCTAGATGGTCACCAGCTGAATTGGGCCCCCTGCCCAGGTCAGCTTAATTCAGAACACATATGGCAATTACCCAAGTGTAGATACAGGATGAGAGCTACACTCGTGGTGTCCCGTCTTCCCAGCACTCTGTCATATAACACTTTTAAACTACTGACGGTTTTGGCCAAACCACCTTCTCATCTAACTTGTTCCAACCGTCTACCACTCTGTTTACGAAAGTGAATTTTCTTATATTTCTTAGGCATCTGTGTTTAGCTAGTTTAAATCTATGACCTCTTGTTCTTGAAGTTCCGGGTCTCAGGAAATCTTCCCTATCAATTTTATCGATTCCTGTTATTATTTTGTACGTACTGTAGTGATCATATCGCTTCTTTTTCTTCTAACTTCTAGTTTTGCATATTTAATGCCTCTAACCTCTCCTCGTAGCTCTTGTCTTTCAGTTCTGGGAGCCACTTAGTGGCATGTCTTTGCACCTTTTCCAGTTTGTTGATGTGCTGCTTCAGATATGGGCACCATACAACTGCTGCATATTCCAGCTTTGGTCTAACAAAAGTCGTGAATAATTTCTTTAGTATTTCACCATCCATGTATTTAAAAGCATTTCTGAAGTTAGAAAGTATAGCATAAGCTCCTCACACAATGTTCTTAATGTGGTCCTCAGGTGACAGTTTTCTATTTGGAACCACCCCTAGATCTTTCTTTATCAGAATTCTGTAAAGATTTCTCACATAATTTATAGGTTGTGTGGTCTATGTTCGCCTATTCCACATTCCATAACATGGCATTTATTCACATTAAATTCCATTTGCCAAGTGGTGCTCCATATACTAATTTTGTCCAGGTCTTCTTGAAGGGCATGACAATCATCTAAGTTTCTAGTTTAATTCAATCATCTAATTTAATGGTGTCTGTCTATGCATGCAAAAAGAATATCCTGACAATAATTGTTAGTGACAATTGATAAATCCCCATTTGCCAAAAAATTTGCTATAAACAGTAGTGGCTTGCAAAATTGATGTGCTGTCCCATTTTCTATTGGTAGGGCCTTGGTTAGGTTAGGTTCAAGCAGTTCAGTATATCACTTTAGGAATCTCTCAAACACTCGAGAGGTGGTGGTGGTCTTTACTAGATTTTGCCCTAGGCTCTTTGGGCAATGGACCTTTTGGTTTGCTTGCCTTGACAGTTTGGTTGCATGCTCTTTGTTTGGTAGGCACTATGCCTTCTGTTATCTGGGCTGTTTGTGCATCTCCCTTAGTGCTGGACTAGAGCTAAATAAGGAAGCTACTGAAGGCCAACCAGAAAAGTGCATTTCAATACATTCAGCAATTGATATCTGAACAGCGAATCAAAAGAACTAATCTGGACATGGAGCATTAGGTCACCCATAAGCCTCATGAGTCGGTCCAAGCCTGGGGTGACAATCTTAATTAACCTTCCACGCTATGAAGTAACTGGGCATCCAATAATATAACAAAAACATAAATGTTCAGAAGCTATGATATAACTAACATGAGAAAATAAATTCATCACTCATATGTAATATAAAATCAGAATTCACCATAAAATCACATTAACGTGATCTATATATGAGAAAATCTTGGGAGAAGGGTGAGGGTTGAGTCAGCATCATGACCCCTATCATGTGCCAAGATTTTTTCAGTGTCTGGATTGTTTTGGAAAGAATAATGGACAGGGAGGAGGAGGAGGTGAGATTTTAATCCACTTGTTGCTTTTACAATTGCAAAATATGCCTCACTCAAATTACATTCTTGCTTCCTGCTAACAATCATGGTACCTCAGAGCTCCTAGCACATAATGTCTGGATAACCAATATTGGTAAAGAAAAAGCAAAGTAAATAACGAGTGTTATAAGATATCAGTTCTTTCAAGTGTGCATGTGTAGAAAATAGATAATACTGAACACGTATGTGCTCCCTACTACTACAACGCTACTTAGCTGAGCCACATTCTCTCACATGTTAAACTACTTTCCAGACACACTGTGGCGAATCACAAGTATGGATACATGATTATTGGGCCACCATAACACTCACAATACTAATGAATGTCACATCCACATACTATATTTAATATAACTTTCTCCCCCCCCCCCCCCCCCCCCAAGCCCCCTTCCAATCTCTCTCCCTTCTCATTCCACTTATCCCTCTTGATTAATGTACCTCATTTCTGTGTTCCTCTCAATTTCTCTACACGTTACTTCACTCATAATCTCTCGGTATCCTCACTTCCCATTACCTCGGCCATTAACCGTCTCTCTACATGTTATCTCATTCACCATCTTCTTATTTTGAGGTTATCTTGAGATGATTTTGGGGCTTAGCATCCCCGTGGCCCGGTCCTCGACCAGGCATCCTTTTTGTTACACACCCCAGGAAGCAGCCTATAGCAGCTGTCTATCTTCCAGGTACTGTACCTATTTACTGCTAGGTAACAAGGGCATCAGGGTGAAAGAAACTCTGCCCATTTGTTTCCACCTCCACTGGAGATCGAACCTGGAACCTCAGGACCACAAATCCGAAGAGCTGTCCACTCAGCTGTCAGGCCCCCTGACACCTGAATGTCACCATCACCAACTCTCTACACATTACCTCACTCCACATTTCCCGATTACTTAACTCATCATCTCAACTGTAATATCACTAATGATCTTCCTCCTTAACCCTTAGACCGCGCAATACATACATACTGTATATGATCTGACATAAAATAATTTAACATAAGTTTTTAAAACTTGCACAAGCACTTTCCAATTTTTTTTGCATAATCAACTAGGTAGATGCTCCAACTTTGTCTAGATGATCACAGCATAACTTGAAAAACAAGAAAATCAAAATTAATTTTAAAAGTGAATATTGGAAATTTCATACAGTATTTTCAATTCGGAATAAAAAATATGTACTATCACCAATTGTTCATTTAATGTTGTTATCGTCTCAGAATAGCATATGATCTTCATTTTCATCAAATTAGAATATAGGTTTTCAGTATAGTTTACTGCAAAAAAAAAGTGTCAATAGGGCATTTGAAATATGCAGCAAATTTAGACCAAAAAAAATTATAATTCCAAATGTATAAAGTTTATGAAAAATCCAATCTGAAGGGATTGTAGAACAGACAGCTGAGCACACAATGTCAAAATAGTGAGAATCGGTCAAAAACTGGAATTTTAGAAGCCACTCAAAGTTGAAACTGTAGTTTCAGGGATAATTGAAGTTGAAGTTATCAACAATGAGCAAAGGTAGTTTTAATTCGTTAATTTAATTGTATGTTTTAATAAACATTGTTTGGCATTTGTACTCAAATATGTGAAAGTTGTCGGTCAATGTGTTGAAATGAAGTAAAGAAAAAATAACCCCAAAAAACACACAATATAGGGATAATTATAATGATTATAATGATTTAGGGGATATATTTAGGGTATATTTTATATAAGTGAAAAAGCCCTAATATGGTCCCTAATCATCAAAACAACCTAAAGAGACAAAGAAAATAGTTTGAAATCAGAGAAAAAATCAGCCAAAAAAATTAAGTCACAAATTTTGCTAGTTGTGACTGATTTATTTGTTGACCAATTTCATTTTATCTTCACATAGTTATGAAAACATAAGCATTCTCCAGGATGTAAAGGTTACAACAAAATTGGATAATAAACAAAGGAAAAAAAACTAAAATCTTAATAAAAAAATATATTCCCCTAAATTTTTTGGGAGGACATTGATGAAAGTAAAATATATATACTCTGGACAATGTATTTATGATATATAACAATATATAGCATATTAACAAAGTTATTCATTATTATTTGTGTTATGTATTACTCAGCAATGATATAAAGGCACCAACTGCATATTCACTTTGTGGACACTTCTTACTACTATTGTTGTTCTTTGAGCATAGGACAGATGCTTACATCTCTTTATTACTACATAATCCTTCAGTTCCGGTTATTAGGAGCTGTTCTCCTTATCAACAAAACGTTCTTTTTTTTTTTAATTTGTCTAAAATCAATTTCTGAAAATATTTTTAAAGTTTCATGACACTGAAGTCAATAAGTTGGAGATTTGTTTAACGTCTTTAAGTTATTTTTACATAATTCGAATATTTTTTGCTACCAGACCGCCAATATGCGCAGTAATATGTGCGGTCAAAGGGTTAATATCTCATTGCTTTCATCTTGCCTCCCCCTTAATCACTTCTTGTTTTATCACGGGTCCTTCCTCTTTTCACTCCTCCTATCTCTTGTATCACTTCTTCTCCCCTTTTAATCACTGATCCTCCCCCTTTTATCACCTCTGCCCCTTGTATCACTTCTCCCCTTGTATCACTTCCCTCCCATTGTATCACTTCCCTCTCCTTTTATCACTTCTTGTCCTTTTCTCACTTCACTGCCCCCTTTACTCACTCTTTATCTCATTATGTTGCTCTTCCTCTTTAGCTGGCTCCGGCCCCTTAGCTGGCTCTTCTTTGTTAGCTCACTCATGCTCCCTAGCTTACTCCTCCCACCATTTAGCTCACTCCCCTGTTAAATCATTTCAATATCCTTCACGTAATGCAGGGTAGGTGCTATAAGGGAGAGTGACAGGGTAGGAAAAGTAATGGGGAGTGATTGGGAAGAAGTGAAATATGGGGAAATGAGAGGGAAGAGGTGAGATGAGAAATGTGAGCTCTCACATTCTGTTATCTCACTTCTTCACATTAAAATATTTACTTACATGGTGCTTGTAAGTCTAGGGGTCCATTTGGCCAGGTTTAAGTTACTTGTGCTAAAGTGGGTTTTCAGGTGGTTAATGTTACACACACACACACACACACATACGCCACCCATTGACAGGGGCATTTTGGTATCCAGTTTGTTTTACATGCGTGGCTTTCATGGACCTATGCTTATGTATATGTATTCTCATGTGCACATGCTTATACACAAAAGCACACTCGTACACAGACAAAAAAAAAAAAAAGAAAGGCTGGGGTAGTGTAGGCAAACACATGTACCATTTTTTTTCCTCTGCTATGCAAGCATGCACACAGATTCAGCAGACACAAAAGTAGAGTTAAGGTACTTTATAACTCGTCACTTTTAAAGCTATGCTTTTAAGCATAATAGCCATTAGTGATACGAATAATGGTTGGGAAATATGGATGGTTTATCTAAATGTGTGTGTGATGGTCTCTAATTACAGGTGCGTGAGAGACTACGTGTGTCTTTGGAGCGAGTCGCTACACTGGAGGAAGATCTGAACCATACCAGGGATGAGGTTAGTTTCTCATTGTCCTGCACTCGTGAGTGTGTTCACTGCATTTCAAAATTGTCTGAAGTAGGAGTTGAGGATTTCTTTTGATAACACATGTTTTTATCATTCTTGGTGAGTGCCTTCTATCTCCTTACAATAGAAAACAATAGAAATAATGATGTTATACGTTTCCAGCTAACCCAGTACAAGTTGGGTAAAGTTCCTGGAGATGGCGCAGAGAGTAACCGTGTCAATGGGGAGACAGAATCCACCGATGGTGTTAGCAGTGGTGGATTGGGCAGTGCAAGTAATGGTGATGGCTCTCCCTCGGTAAGTGTCATTCTGCTTACTAATTTTTCATTTATGTGAATCTTATTTTTAATATTCTGTTCTTTCTTGAAAGGTAATTAAATTACGGCAAAGATGTTGTTTTTAATAAGTATAGCAGTTTCAAAACTGATTGCATTACAGTATTCTCGTGTGACATTGATCCGAGTTATTAACTTTCAGTAAAATATGAATGTGTTTAGGAGATGTTTTGGCAGTCTGGGAAAACGGTCACTGTCTTGTAGATTTAATTACCGTGTTATTCTTCAATAGGTATACACATACGTTTGTTCAGTTCCCCCCCTTGATTAATTTTCTGGGTCCTCATATGTGGTGTTTTTTTTTTCTTTCAGTGGTACAGTAATTATATTTGTGTTCAATTAATTTGGAAATTAACATAGTAAAATTTATCACTGATTTGCATATATTTTTCTTCAAGTTTAAGTTTAGCATCTGTTTTAGAATTACTGGTATAATGAATATTAACCCTTCAACTGCGCGGCCTATAAATGTGACATCCCCCCAGTGCGCAGGAAATGAAACCTTGGGAAAAAATTATTTTTTCTTCGGAAAGTGTCAAAAACCCCTCCCTGTATATGGGTATAGCAACGCAAGTTCGAAATTGTACTTACTTTGGCTGCTATGGGGTCCGAAAGGTGGGCCATGACGTCATAATTCCCTGTGCGCCAGAGCAGTATGCTCCCGGGGCTGGTGGGGCGCCCGGGGCGGGGTGCGCAAGTTGCCGCGAATATATTTTTGCACATTTTTTGCACACAGTTCCAAATACATTTTATTTGTTTTTACATGCTAATCCTATGTATAATGAACACGTACACTATATTATGGCAGTAAAACATCCGTACTGTCCGAAGACACTGTGTTACGTGCATGACACTTGTGTACACATATGTTGCACTTATTTACCATGTATCATGCTAATTTATATATATATACAATCAATTTACAGACTATACACTGTCACACACTATATACATTCACCATCAACACATTCATAACACCGCGAGTGTGAGCAGCCACACCCAGCCAGCCCTCCCTCACTCCTCCAACTCGCTAACATTGCTCCTCCAAATCATAGTTATTCACACGAATGTTTCAAATTCATTTATGTATATTTACAACATATGTACACACTCTACACTGTCACACACTATATACATTCACCATTCACCATCAACACACTCAGAACACCGCGAGTGTGAGCAGCCACACCCAGCCAGCCCTCCCTCACTCCAACATCTTACTCGCCAACATTGTTCCTCCCACCATACTGTTATTGTATTTATTATGATTTACACATGTTATACCTATCTGCATGTTTTATTTACCAGAACTATGCAAGTAAGCCGGTATTGTGTCCAAACAGTACAGTGGCCACCATACACTGCATGACAAATCACACAGCAGACAGCAGACGACGCCACGATTACGACGTCACCTCCCTCACCAAAATAGCTCCTCACAACATACTCCTGGTGCTGTTATTACACTATTCCACACACACTGTATATACCCATGTACATGTGTGTTCCCCATAGCGAACCACGAAGCTAGTATGGTGAGCAAAACAAGAGTTACTGCCACACAGTGAGGCTACCTCAATTCTCTCCCTTCCTCCCTCCCTCACCAAAATTCTTCCTTCCTATGCACAACGCTCATTATAACCACAATCCTGGTCACTAATACCTGTAAATGAATAATTGACCACAAGATTATTTTGAAAAGGAACCTAAAAAGTCGTTTGAAGGTTCCTACATGGACGAAATAATGCTGTGGTGCTGTGGCTAGCGCTGTGAACATAGTGAACAGCATTGAATCACTGATATTTGAACATTGAACCCAGTCATTATTACACTCGGGCTCTTCTATAATACTATCATGGCTAAATAAAACAGATTATATATATATTTTGACAATATTTGGCGATGCTGTGGTCACACGCTGAACAGCAGTGCTGTGGTCACACGCTGAACAGCAGTGCTGTGCGCTCATGCTGCGAGCGCCAGCCTTGGTTGCTCACTCACTACCGAGGCTCTGGCACCCGGCAATGTGGACCATGATTTTTTTTAAAGATGGCGTCTGTTTAAAAGAGCCCTGAGGAAGCTGATGTGAACCCCATGTAGCCGCGGGAGTTTTGAATGGAACGTGAAAAATAAAAACACCCGGAGGCGCGTTGCGCACCTGAAGCCTGGGCCTGCAGGCACGTTGCGCAGTTAAAGGGTTAATGTTGGGGAAGAGTTGTAATTGTTTTGAAAAGTTAACAGGATCGGGCCAAACCTGACAGTTTTAATAAATTCCCATGTGTGTGCAGAGTTATTACGTTTTTGTATATATATCACAGTTTGGTTTGTTGTATAGTGTATCAGACCATCTAGTTCATTTGCAGTTGAGTTGGATTACCAAAGTGGTCATTACAAAGTAGTTTAATGATTAGAACCCAGCAACTGTAAGGTGTACCTCTTCAACAAGATATTCTTGGTAATAGAATACCAGAAAGAATATACCCCAAATGAAAAAAATAAAATTTACATTAAACCGTATTTTGCTACAAAAAATTGGCTGTGGTGTATATTATATTGGCAGCAGAATAATAATAAGCAGGAAGTAGTTAAGCTTTCCTGTTAGTTTACTGCAGTACAGGTATACATGTACAGTACTGTATAGGTATACATGTACAGTACTGTATATATAAGGTGTGTATGTGTGTTTGTATCATGTGAACATGTATGTGTATTATTCATGTATATCTAGGAGTATGTGTGTGTGCGTGCGTGCAAGCGCTGTACATTTGTATATACTGTATATGGGTGTATATGTATGTATTTATGTATATGTAAGAGAGTGAAGAACATGTCTGATATTGGTGCACTATTGAATCGGTAATACCTGGTCGCGACATTAACTTCAACTTAGGTCACTCTTGAAGGACATTGTATGCATATACAGTATTTATAGTATGTTTGAGTAGATCTCTGGGGCCTAGATAATAGAGGGTTTCTGGGGTCTAGAGAGTAAATAGTAGATTTTGGGGTCTAGCTAGTAAATACTAGATTTCTGGTCTAGATAGTAAATACAGGAGTAAATTTCTGGGGTCTAGATAGTAAATACAGTAATAGATTTCTGGGGTCTAGGTAGTAAATACAGGTAGTAGATTTATGGGGGTCTAGATAGTGAATACAGGTAGTAGATTTATGGTGTCTAGATAAGGAATAGTAGATTTCTCGGGTGTTGATATTAAATAATAGATTTCTGGGGTCTAGATAGTAAATAATTGAAATAAGATAATGTAAATATTAATGTGTAGGTTAATACTAACAACTTATTCAACACAGGTATATGTATATGCAGTATTTAAAAAAAAATACATAGGCCACCTGAGCCTAAGAGAGAAGTCACATTTAAATTTAAAATCCCAGTCTGCCAAACACAGTTTGAGGATTCAGGACAAAATCAGGATTCAGGAGCTTGAAAAGGGTTTTCAGGCAAAGGGTTTTGAGGAGCCGGTCGGCCGAGCGGACAGCATGCTGGACTTGTGATCCTGTGGTCCCGGGTTCGATCCCGGGCGCCGGCAAGAAATGGGCAGAGTTTCTTTGACCCTATGCTCCTGTTACCTAGCAGTAAAATAGGTACCTGGGTGTTAGTCAGCTGTCACGGGCTGCTTCCTGGGGGTGGAGGCCTGGTCGAGGACCGGGCCACGGGGACACTAAAGCCCCGAAATCTTCTCAAGATAAACCTCAAGATAAGTATTGGGCTGTTAGGCGGAGAAGTTTGACCACAAGGAAGGATTCTAAGACTTCTCGTTTATATGGAATGACACTGTCTTTTAATCATTCTGGGCTGGAGTGAGCTTATCTTAATAAGTAACCACTTGGTTACTTATAAGTTACTTACATAATAAGTGACCACTTGGCAGTTTGTTACTCTGCAGAGACCCCTTGAGAAATTTACTGCAGCACTGATGTTGAGACTTGCCTCCCTGACTGTCGTGATCCTTGCCAAAGGGCATAATAGATCTCGGTGTAGGGATGTAATTAATGCAGTACATTGCATTTTATGGAAAACTATAATAGATGTCAGTAGTATTATAACAATATGCATCCAAAGTGATAATACATTGCCATACTTTAGATAATTATCAAATGATGAAGCTATTTTATGGCTCCATTCAAAATATACACACAACATCTACTAATCGGTATACACCGAAGATGCAGATGAGCTTGTATAAATTTATTTGTATTTTTGAAGCGTTCATGTGGCAGGTGTAGCAGTTTGCTTTGCACTCCATCAGCGAATATCTATCTCTCTCTCTCTCTCTCTCTCTCTCTCTCTCTCTCTCTCTCTCTCTCTCTCGTTCGTTCATTCATTGCTTTACTATTGGAGGGTTAACAGGCTCATTGCTGTACCATGGCAGTGGCAACAGGCTCATTGCTTTACCATGCGAGGGAGTAATTGGCTCATTGCTTTACCATGATAGGGGTTACAGGCACGTTGCTTTACCATGGCAGGGGTAACAGGCTCGTTGCTTTACCATGGCAGGGGTAACAGGCTCGTTGCTTTACCATGGCAGGGGTAACAGGCTCGTTGCTTTACCATGGCAGGGGTAACAGGCTCGTTGCTTTACCATGGCAGGGGTAACAGGCTCGTTGCTTTACCATGGCAGGGGTAACAGGCTCGTTGCTTTACCATGGCAGGGGTAACAGGCTCGTTGCTTTACCATGGCAGGGGTAACAGGCTCGTTGCTTTACCATGGCAGGGGTAACAGGCTCGTTGCTTTACCATGGCAGGGGTAACAGGCTCGTTGCTTTACCATGGCAGGGGTAACAGGCTCGTTGCTTTACCATGGCAGGGGTAACAGGCTCGTTGCTTTACCATGGCAGGGGTAACAGGCTCGTTGCTTTACCATGGCAGGGGTAACAGGCTCGTTGCTTTACCATGGCAGGGGTAACAGGCTCGTTGCTTTACCATGGCAGGGGTAACAGGCTCGTTGCTTTACCATGGCAGGGGTAACAGGCTCGTTGCTTTACCATGGCAGGGGTAACAGGCTCGTTGCTTTACCATGGCAGGGGTAACAGGCTCGTTGCTTTACCATGGCAGGGGTAACAGGCTCGTTGCTTTACCATGGCAGGGGTAACAGGCTCGTTGCTTTACCATGGCAGGGGTAACAGGCTCGTTGCTTTACCATGGCAGGGGTAACAGGCTCGTTGCTTTACCATGGCAGGGGTAACAGGCTCGTTGCTTTACCATGGCAGGGGTAACAGGCTCGTTGCTTTACCATGGCAGGGGTAACAGGGATTATCGTTTATCCCCACCGCTGGTTCTATACAGTTTAGTTTCGCTGCAGTTCACTACTTAATGGACAGTCATTAGTTTTCAAACTCTTAATTATTTTTCTCAAAATTCTGTATTGTACTCTACTGTAATAGTTGTCTCATTCTTAGTCTTAGGTGTTCAGTTTGTGTAGTGCTGTGTTGTACTCAACATGACAGGTGTTCAGTTTGTGTAGTGCTGTGTTAGGACTCAACATGACAGGTGTTTAGGTTGTGTAGTGCTGTGTCGGGACTCGACATGACAAATGTTCACATAACTCTTTAACAAGTATAAAATGTCATGAAAAAAAAATGAATGTAAATATTAATTACATTTTTTGTGCTATAAAACTATAGCAATAACACCTTGTTGCTAAATAATTGCTTTAAATAAATTAGTAGCATACAGTATAATAATTTACTTTATTTAAAAAATATAAATGTCTTAAAGAATATTGAATGGTGTCTAATTTGTAACTAACTAGGTTCAAAATGCAGTGTGTGCCTGTAAAAGACTTATGTTTGTTGTACCGGGATTGATGAAGAGTAAAAGAACATTGTTACCACTATACCTTGTACAACCTTGGTTGGAAATTAGGTTCTGATAGATAGCCGATAGATAAGATGTGATGCGCACAAAGTGTAAGAGTGTCTGGCATGAAGTCTGTACCTGTGATGAACACTTAAGAGGTAAGACACGAAAGGGATGTAGTGGCTGTCAGTGGCTCCAAATACTGTTCTCTACAGTACTTGACATTTAAATAATTGGCTTATCTCCGGAAAATTTGGACGGATATGATAGATATGGAGCTTGTATGTATAATGTTACTATTGGAAAGGTGACTGAATTTTCAGAGGAGAGAAATATTTACATTAAAAAAAATTTGCCACAAGAGCATAAGAGAAATGTTTTCACTTAATTATGGAATGAGTATTTAGTGCTAATAATAGTGTTAAGGAATTAATACTAGACACTGAGGTCAGGGCTGAGTGGTATATCCTCTGGGCAGGGTGGGGAGGCAGCAGCTGGTGGGGGACTTGATGCAGATGGTCCCTCCCACAACAAGTTGGTCGATCTACAGACTTCTCTCGACAAGCAGGTAAAGCCATACCATCTGAACGTGTGTTGTGCTGGGTGCCAGGTACACGATACATTCCCAGCACCTGAGCACATTAGATATTCTCCTGTTCTATGCGAATCATTGCTCCACGTGTACTGACGGCTGACCACTCTTGGCATGCACGTCTCAAAGGATCTCTTACTTTCTTCCCAGGCTCACAGTACTGTATTCTGAATTTGATCTCTTAAATAAATTTACCACTAAAGTGATACAGTAATTAAATTACAGCAGCCACTTAAATTCTTTAATATATATATACAATATAAAGACTTACATTGGTATAAAAGATGAAGTGATACAGAAATCTATTATTGGCAAAAACAGAAAGGTATAGGCAATCATCTTGATGAAAATTTGCTGACTGGTAAAAAAAAAAAAAGAGGCAAGTGAAGCAGCCGTCAGTTTCACCCCAGCTTGTGCTTACACTGCGTTATAGCAACTACTCTGCTGCTTAAGCTGCTGCTGGTGCTGCTGCTTCCTTCTGCTGTGGGGGGACATATTAATGTTACTGCAGAGCTTTTTATGTTCAACAATATAGCTACTGTAACGTGATAGTGCATATGACGGCCAAAGTTTGCTGCCCTAGATTTGCTCTCTTTTTAATGCATAATTAATTCATATTTGTTAAAGCCACTGATCTCTTGAATATATAGTATAAATGTTTTTCTTTAGAGGTGTACCGATGTTTTGGTATTGGTGGTACGGTGTCTGCCTATTTTTGCAGTAGGGGTAGAACTTTTGCCGATACTGTCTGTACTTTTAAAATACGCACTTGAATTTGTATTTTGAGAAAGATTTGTTTCAATTCTTACATGTTCCATATGAAAACTCACTAATTCTGCTCTTACTATCTCAAATCACTGGGTAACTCTGGATGTGTGGTAAAGTATGTGTGTCAGTGCTGTATATGTATGTGAAACTGTGTAAGTGTATGTATTGGAGCAGTGTTCCAAACCATGGGTTCCCGTAGGTCTGCAAGTTAAGTTTAAAATGTCCAAGAGGCTCCTCCGTAAAATATTCAATTACAGTACTCGCTATGCGGCTGCTAAAAATGAACTTTAACAACTTCATGTTTCTTAGTTCTTGGCTGTAATATTATCAACTCAATATGGCAGCACTGGTTGTATCATGTTTATTGCAAGCTCTGATTGGTTGTTGATGGGGAAAATCATAGGAAAGTCTGCGATGTGATTGGTGGGTCAGAACCTTTAGCTATTAACCCTTTCACAGATTTGCCCCTTTACCAATTTTGGGCACTAATAGTCTTAGGCTAAGTGCAAAAAGCATAGCTATTTTACTTCCAATGCATACTGCAAAGTTACTATGTATGGTAAAGTGTTCATTTTGGTATAATTTATGTGGAGAGCACTGTTGGCTCCCTGAAGCTATCACACTGATCAAGTGCCATACTACTAGGTGTCATCAGTTTCTGATGCAGATTGGCCTACCGGAGACCACAAGCCAGAACCTGGCCCCCCCTCAGAGAGGTGCAGGGTGTGATGGTCTATGAACAGTTTACATTTAAAGTTTATTATCTTTGCCACCATCCAAGGGAAGGCACCCAGAAAGATAGGCAAATCAAAACAGACTACTGCATGGTTAAAACAAAACCATAGCCTCAAAATTGCCAAAAGAACTCTCGCACAAAGAAACAAACTACCAAAATTTTGTGACACCTACCCCTCTGCTAGTTTGCCCCTACCTTTCCCCTCGCCTGGGAAAGGAGGGAGACAGCCCGGATCAGCCAGGCTCCACACAGGTTCAGGTCAGTTCTATACTGATGTTCATGCCTAGTAGTCACATTGCTCTGGCTCTGGTTTCCTGTCTTGCCTTGGCCTCTGGTTGTTGGGTGGGCGAGCTTTATGCTCTCCTCCGGTGCCAGGGGTTTTGTTTTTTTGGTCCTAGTAGTTTTGTTAGGTTGCAGCCAGCTCCTTTCTGGAGGAGGAGTTGGCAGGTCTTCGGAGGGATCCTTTAGTTGTGGATGCTTGGTTGATTCGACCGAGGTTGCATTGTGCGCTTAGTCCGGTAGTGGCTTTATGCAGCTACCTTTGGGCCACCAGTTTGTTTCAGTGGACTTATTGTGGGTTGATCCGGTTCCCTTGTTCCCTGTTAGAGGGCTCATTTTTCTCAGGTTGTCCCATAATGTTCTTAAAGCTAGCCAGCCTGCAGTCTATCCCTGTGCCCGTGATGTCCGTATGTATGCTGCTCTGACGGCTTTGCCAATGTGTCTTCGGCTGATATTCAGCGCAGGGTTTTGGAAGTCGGCTGGGATCTTTATATTGTTAACATCCTTAGTAAGTGAGAATGATAATGACTGAGTTGACTATGGAAGTTTGTGTGTGACATTCATCAAGGCCACATGCACTGGCCCCTCGAGGTGATGACTATAAATAAACCTTGAGCAAAGACACAATCATGAAGAGTTAAACACTTATATTGTCAGATATACAGACACAGGCAGTCAGTGAACATAAAGACCAGCGAAGAGCAGGGGTGCCATAAGCACAATCAGAGAGCACTCACTATATAAACATCAGAGGTCCACGGTTGTTCAACATCCTCCCAGCGAGTATAAGAAATGTTTCCGGAACAACCGTGGACATCTTCAAGAGAAAACTAGATAGTTTTCTAAACGGAGTGCTGGACCAACTGGGCTGTGGTGGATATGTGGGCCTGTGAACTGCTCCAAGCAACAGCCTGTTGGACCAAACTCTCTCAAGTCAAGCTTGGCCTCGAGCCGGGCTTGGGGAGTAGAACAACTCCCAGAACCCCTCCAAGCAGGTATCAAGCAGGTTAACTGGTAATCACTGCTGGGTAGTGCAATTAACAGTTTAATTTTATGAATTCGACAAGAATTGCTGTGCTAAGACTACTATTATAATTGTTATGACTAATTTCCTATGTCATCATTTGCAAATATTGGGATCATGAGAAGCATTACATCTTAAATAACATCTAGTATCTAAAAATATTGCCAAGTATTAGTATTGGAGTATCGGTCTTGCTGTAGTAAAGGTATCAACTAAAATGTTGGTTTTGGTACACCTCTAGAGTTTTTTTTTTTTTTTGTAGATACTGTAATGATGAATAACATACGTAATATGACATTACTGGTGCTTGAATGTTCCTTTTTCGTGTTTTGACCTGTGAGCGCACACAATAAATGTTTTCTAATTTGAGTAATGTGAAAGGTAAATTTGTCAAGAAATGTACATCATAAACTACTTTTTGACAAATGTTTTAGTTTTAATCTGTTCATTGGATGTTTTGCTTTCTCTGATGATATTAATAAGCTGCACCTGTGTTGATATAATACTGTGACTGCAATATCTGTTGCAAATTTGGATGCATAATGATGCAAAAGTTAAGACTTTTGAGTTGATAATCTTAGTTGCAAATGATCTTTTTACTGTCTGGTACCTGCTTCTAATTTTGTAAAGCTGCATAAGGTATAAAGCTCATCTTTATACTGAAATTATACAGAAGAGTACTTTTAGAAGCTAGTGTGAAGTGATTTGGTATGCTTGGTACAGTGTCTTCTCTTACTACAAGATTGGTTAAATAAATTTTCTTAATGCGTGAAATTTATAACTGCACAAAGAAATCCTATCAGACTATACATTTGACGTTGCATAAGCAAATATGTTTCGTTTGTTTCACAAGCCGCTTCATGTTTTGTTAATTATATTGATGCAAAATACAATGTGACATATTTCTCGGCTCATTTCTGAGGAATGTAAGATTAAGGAGACTTTATTTTCAGCTAGAACAGCAATACATCTCTAGGAGGTGGGCATAATACACAACTGGCTTGACAAGTGGGTGTAAACAGAAGAATGAAGTAACTTTTTATATTTAAGGTAAATGAAGAGTGTGTGCAATAGTGTTAACTAATCAGCTTACAACCCCTGCTCTGGCTTGTTTTGACGCTCAAAATACAGTACGTAATTATTGTTTAGCACATTGACAAAATGATGCAAACCAAGATGGAATCAACAAGGAAACTATGAGAAAGATTTCAGTAGTATCAAAAATCTAGTTGCTGAAAATATTTAGGAAAATGTTCACATATGGACGTATCATGTGAAAAGAACACGACGTCAGACTTGCCTGCACACACTCACAAGCAGGGTGAGGAGAGACAGCTGGAGGTTGAACATCCTAATGAGGCAGAGATTTAAAAAACCTGACACACACAGAGATCACACTAACGTGATGCATCAAATGAACAAATCCACAAGGGACGTGATGAGGACGAGAATACAATTATCCTTGTCATGGCCCTTGTGGATTTGTTCATTTAATTGACAAAAACCTGGTTGGGATGATGAAACCCATTGGGTTATGGAAAGATAACCAAGCTGGATCAGGGGAGGGATTGTAGGGAGGAGTGACCAAACATGGTGGGGGATTGTAGGGAGGAGTGACCAAACATGGTGGGGGATTGTAGGGAAGAGTGACCGAGCATGGTGGGGGATTGCTGGGAGGAGTGACTGAGCATCGTGGGGGTGGCTAGTTAGAATGACCATGCGATTATTAGATAAGAGATAGATTCCAGAACTGGAACTAGATTCATACACACAGACACTTATACACACACACACAGAGAAGAACATTCAAGATGGCCACTGGCAAGGGGAAAAACAAAACAGAGCTTGATTTTGAGGGATTCAATGAAGAAAGCATTGATATTAGTAGTCTACATAACAAGTTGGTAAATTTAGATACTATAGTGAACTCTCATGTAGAAATAATTAGTAAATTGAAAGAAAGTAATGACCATTTGAATAGCAAAGTTTTATGTCTTGAGGGTTTAGTGAAAGACTTGCGCAAGGATAAGAATCAATTGGAAACAAATTGCAAAGCCATGGAAGAAGAAAATAAACTCTTAAAAATAGCTTTGGAAGAAGTTAAAGTAAATTTAAACATAAATGACTACAATAGGTTAGGCAAGGAAATTCAACAGGAGAAACAGCTTT